CTCTCTCTCTCTCTCTCTCTCTCTATCTCTGTCTATCTCTCTCTTGCAAATCGGCTTTATATTATGTCATTTTTATAAATATTTGGCCAACTGTAATAAAAACTAAAATCGTTGAAATCCACATCTATTTACCTTAACCCGTTGTATTATATCAATTTCTCAATTACTAGTCCCGGCATTCAATCTGACCAAAACTATTAATTTTCTTTTCTTTTCTATTGCGAATACGCACACCGTGTAACCCATAATAATCTATGTGTGTAGGTACACGTAAAAAACTATTTTTACTTCCACTCGCTTTCTCTCTCTCTTTCTCTCTCTCTCTCTCTCTCTCTCTCTCTCTCTCTCTATCTCTATCTCTATCTCAGTTAATTTTTCCCTCTTTCTATATTTCTTTCAATTATTTCTCTCGTTCGCTGCGACTGCTGGTCCGCTCCATTTGCTTCGATACACATTACAGCAAAAATGCATTTTTCACAAATCTCCGGAAAACCTAACTACAGATATATTCCACATAATCTAATATTCATTAAACGCACATGCTCACTTAGTAATAAAGTATTTAAAAAATTTTTTTTAATAAAACACAATGGGCGAGAATCAAAAAATATGTTTTGAGCATTTCTCTATTGGATTTTTCATTTAAATCTATTTTTATTAACGTAATAATAACTTTAGTTAATTAATATAATCAGCGCTGCATATCTTACATTAACATATCTTCGGTTTGATTATAATGACATTCAAGAGATGTTACAGAAATATTTATTCTTGCTTTAGCAGTAAAATGAATATATATTCCTTTATACTTTATTACTTAATTTTTTTTTTTTAATTACTTAACGCCTATGTATTATATTCATATGTAGTAACATTTACTCTATACTCAACATAATAAACTGGATGATATATTTTTTATAATTTTACACGATAATATATTACTTTTTAATATAATAATGCTCGCAAAATAATTCGTTCTTATCTTTTACTTATTAAATTAATTTTTTTTTTTTTTTTTTTTTTTTTTAATCCATTGTAACCGATAGTAATTATTGTGTACATTATTGTATATTAGTTGATCAAACATACTTTTTACATTTTTGAAATAATTTATCAAAGAAAATATTAGATATTTGAAAAACTAATTAATAAAATATTATTAATAACTCGTCAATTATGAGGGTATTTATTAATATTCTTCAATGACCATTGTTAGAAAATTTTTTTATTTCTTAAATAATAATATTTAAAATTATATTTAAACATTCTACAAACATATTAAAAAAAGTTTAAAATTCTTCAATTAATAGCTATGCCCTCTCCAATAGAAATTACAATTACATGAAATTTATCGCCTGCTATTACCTAACATTAATTGCTTAAATAATTTATTCAGACATTATATCAAATATACTCATAATATTTGGTATTTTCCATTTTCATGTTGCCAAGTTAAATAATAATGAGAAATTTAAAATAAAAAAAAAAATATCAAAATAATGCATGCTCGTGTACATAGAGAACAACATTAACACGATGAAGAAACTAAAAAATTATTATAGAAAAGGAAATATATGTTTCGATAGCAAATACTAAAATATAATTTACAAGAAAAATCTAAGCAAACCTAAATGAAACGTAATTTATTATATTTATTTTTAAATATTATACTTTTTTTAAAATATGTAATATATATATATACATATATTATATTCATTACTTTGGCGCAAAAGAGAAATATAAAATATTTATCTCTTATCCAAAAAGAGGATCAACTTTATTCTTTTTAATGAAGCAAGATGTATTCATTTTTAATTTATCCATCATCTAAATGCAACTATTTTTAAAGCTTATAAATACTTTGTTTCACCTTTCTAATAACTTACATTAATCGATACTTTTAATTTTTTGAGATGATTGAAATGACAAGAAATTTTGTATAATATAATGCTAACAATTTTTAATAAAAATTGCATAAAATTTGCAAATATTCACATACTTTTGTGCGTCGTTATAAACTATATTTGCCTTGAGCCATTGTCATTCTTTCTAAACAATGTATTTCCCAAAGCCTAATTGGCTTCATAAACACGCTAATTCAGGTATTTCAAATACATTTGAATTTGTACATTAAATTTAAGCATTAACATGTCCATATCGTTTATTGAATTTATTAATTTTTACGTTTACACCAAACTTGAAACACCATCTACACGAATTTATAGTTATGAGGTGATACCAGACGGTAATGTTAAAAGTAATTAAAAAAAAAAAAAAAAAGAAAAAGAAAAAGTAAAAAAAGAAAAAAAGAAAAAAACAGCCCACTTAGTAACGCTTAATAACGATCGTTCGAATAATTCGAATAATCTAATAAATCGGTATCGGGAACGCGGCAACTTATCCGGACTCTTGTTAAGAAAACAACAGCACCGGAGTCCTATTAACGGTTGATGATAATACAAGAATAGTGGAAGGTCGAGAGACGGAAGCAAGCGAACGAGGCCCAATGCCCGGCTACCGCTCCACACGAGGCTTAGCTCCCTTTTACTTAAACTGAATAAGGAAATCAAAGGAAAATAAACAAGAGAAATTCCGTCTGATTGCAGTCGGATTGCAACCGGTACGCTAAGGTGCGCGGGGGCCGCTCGTCCTCTGCGCCGTTGCATAAAGCAGCGCACAAGACGAGTCAGGGCAAGTCCGAGTCGGAAGAGTACGACACCCTGGGCTCGGACAGCGACACGGAAGTCGGGACCAGCAGCCGAACCGAGTCTTCCAATCACCTCGTCGATTCCCATCACTCGGCCTCTGCGACCGATGCGCGCGTTCACAGTACGCAATTAACTCTTTTTATTTTCTGCTATTTTTATTTTTGCCGCCCACATGACTCTGCGCTCTCTCCATTCGTCCCCCTTTATACATGCAACTTTTATCCTCTGCGCGCCCGCCTACCCCACCCCTCTTTCTCACTCTGTCTATCTGTCTGTCTATTAATTTATCTATCTCTCTCTCTCTCTCTCTCTCTCTCTCTCTCTCTCTCTATACATATATATATATATATCTTGCGTACATCTCTCTAGCAAAGTCAACGCGCGCGATTAAAGTTCCGAATTTGCTCACCGACCTCCGTTAAAATACGCAACTAAATAATTTCAAAATATCTATATAAACTGCAAGATTGAGATATTCAGCTCAAATTCAAAAAATTTATGCGCTGTAACTTTCCATTCTCAGAAGTCCTAGAACGTTGAGAACACCATCGCCGAACCATGTGCTCGATAAATGAAACAGTTTTTAAAATCTATGTACTTTGAATACTTATCGTTTGGTAAATAGATAAATAGATAAAAAGAACTTCACAAAGAGTTTCGAGATTTTCAAGGTAACTACTTTTATCACTTATGTTCAAATAAAATGATAAGAAAATCTGAAGATTTTGTTGGTTCAAATTGGTTTAGCGACGCACCGAACGTCATCGTTCTTTTGGTGCTTCGTATAAATATTGTTGTCATCTTACCTTAATCTCGTATGAACGATGAATAAACAATTTTACATCGTTTATAGCCTGATAATAGTAACACGTCGATGTGTGAAAATTCGATGAACTCGGAACTTTAATCACAGCTTTATCTCATTGTAATTTGTGATGAAATGCCCATATTATGTAGCAGCTGCTTCTATTTACTTTATGACAGTTTCTTATTTTTTCTTTTTGTATTCTTAAGCATTATCGTTTTTTATTTTCATTTTAATTAAATAATAACAACATTATTATAGCTTTTTTTCTCAAGTTCTTTTAATTAATTGCGATGCGATGTGCAATTGTTATTATGAGTAATTAGCAATGACGAATGTTGTAAAATAATGTGGCTAGTGGCTTCAATTACCATTATTTATTTATCCGAATCCTAAGCTATTTATCAATTATTAGTCACGAATTACGAGTCAGTAGAAGTACAAAATCGCGATGCTTCTCCACGTCGATTGACCGAACGAACAATGTTGAATGAAACTTTTAATCATGTAGTTTTCAATACCATATATTGTAGACAATTAATTAGATCATATAGAAAATTCCAGTGATAATAGCGATGATCGTGATGATGATGATGATGATGATGATGATGATGATGATGATGATGATGATGATGATGATGATGATGATGACGGTGGTTACGATGATGGCGGTGATGATGATGGCGATGATGATAATTATGATGATGATGACGATAATGACGATAATGACGACGTCGATGATAATAATAATAATAATAATAATAATGATGATGACGACGACGACGATGATGATGATGATGATGATAATAATAATAATAATAATAATATATGACATTTATATAATTGCAGACTTCTTGTACCATGGACCAGAATCTAGCACGTCTACAGAACCCTCACCGATTTTTGAGAGAAAATCGTTTCCTGGAAGGGGAAGACCCAAGTACGTTATGAAAGTAATCGTTAAAAAGATGTTCGGCAGTATCGTATTACAATAAGTTTTTGCTTTTAGAATATCGATCATGAACAATGAATTTCTGTATTAAAAAAAAAAAATAATAATAATAATAATAATAATAATAATAATAACGATAATAATAAATATATAAATAATATATATAATAATGTAAAAGAAAATTAAATATTTAAATAATCGAAGGGCTTAATAACATCGTTACAACTAATGTTTCAATGTCTTAAAGACGATTGTGCTCAACTTAACGATCCTTGAAATTCCGTTCCACAATTGCACCAAGAGCAAGCATTGCGCGGCGAATGAACCTCGCTCGGGTCGAACGGCTCGCAGCACTAGAGAGGTCCCGGGCCTCAAACCCTTGCAAAGAGCCTCGTCTCTCCTTCACGCCGCCCCCTCCCGCCGCACCACACGCTTATTCCTAATATTGGGCCCAATGCCCGACTGCTTTCAGGATGCTACGGCTGGCGCGTTATACCGGCGAGGAGACCAGGTCAAGCCTCGTCGTCGGCCCAGCAATCGGGCAGCACGGGGGGTCTCGCCCTGCCAAGCACCAGCCGTGCCCTAACGTCCAGGAGCGTGACGGACCAGGCCACAACATGTTCATCCCCAAGCTGGATCCACCCTCGGGCTTCTCCGACGCGCTTGAACTGACCGACGCCGAGTGCGAGCAACTCGACCGCGGCCAACGCAACCTACGCGACTTTGTCATCGCGGTGTAAATAAGGTGCCGGGAGCTACCTGGAACCGCGGATCCTGGGCTCCCGGTTCGACGGACTACGATGAGATGGAAGACCCGGTCGAGCACGAGATGAGATACGCGAATATCGGCCGAACGTATTTATTATTGAGGTGAAATTGGGGCTGGCCATCCCCATTATACATATTAACGACGTGACGCGGCTAGATTGGGATGGGTGGGCGTCGAGGGGAGGGGGATATAGGAGATGAGGCGATCGAGGAATAGAGCCAGAGATTGAAAATAACCCGATGATCGTACATTTTTCAAGGTCTCAGATAGATAAAATACACGCCAACATGTTGTCCTGTTGATATCGCATACTTTATAATATACATAATACATATATATATATATATATATATATATATATATATATATATATATATATATATATATATATAAAGAAAAAAGAAAAAAAGTGATTGTTCAACGGCAAATGAGACTCGTACTCTTGAGTTTTCAAATGATTTTAAAGATTGTTTATATTCTATTTACTTTGTAAAATATACAAAAGTCATTCGAATTTGGAAATACTAGACATTTATTTAAATACCCTACCCTCGCCCACTCGCTCACTCGTCCCATCTCTCTCTCTTATCCCGCTTGTTTTGGTCTTGTAATTTTATGGAACGAGAGCTGAAGAACAGAAGACTGATATTCTTTAACGATCGTTTAATTATGCAATTTACTTTACGATAGCGCGTATCGAGTGCCGTAAAAATTGATTAGTTGTTTCAATTACCAAATAATACATGGAATAATGGTAAAAATAATATTAGAAATAATAGCTCTGACGTATTTTTATTTTACTTGGAAGCAGTTTATTATAATTCGACTTTTAAGAGATCTAAGCAAACGTGCATAAAATTAAAAGTTTCCTAAATCTTTGCGTTGTGCATGAATCACCGTTTTATTATAAATTGTACATTAAGCAATTTCATCGGCTACTACTCGTACAGCCGTTACAATAATAAATTAATAACTTTCCTAAATAGTGAAAACAATTGGTGATAAAAAAAAAAAAGAAGAAAATGTTGCTTTAATCTCTATGAAGTATTATTTATCACAAAAAGTGAGAGAAAATTACTACACTCGAATATAATATAATGCGCTTGCTCATCTTTTTTACAATGATGTACATTCCCGTGAAATTAAATAGTCGTAAGATTTTCTTTTAGAAAGTTATTACTTTTATATATTATTCAGTTTATAGCACATACATATATAATCATCCATTTCATCCATGCGGAGCATTCATTCGAAAAACGTATATAATCCTTTCGTTCGGAGACTAATTTTTTTGTTTCTCTTTCATTACCGTCTATTCGTTTCTTGCTTTTTCTTTTTTTCACTTTTCTCCAGTTATTACTTGTAATTTTCTTATTATTATTTTTTTCTTTCTTTCTTGCGCAACTTGCACCACGTGGTATAAGGATGCCCGGGCTCGAGGTTGCTTCGCGACTTTAGCACTCGTAGCCCTTGGTCGATCGACCGAGGTATTGGTTTCCAACTCATAAAACAGCCATCGCAAGGCTGTCCTCCCATAAATATATGCCTTTCTTTTCTTCTCTGGTTTTTTTTTTTTTTTTTTTTTTTTTTTTTTTTTTTTTTTTTTTTTTTTTTTAATAATGTAGCTATCCGTTAGGTGACAGCGTGCACGTAGTATTAAAACGATAACAAACTACTTTGCCGACACGCTGTCGAGCATCCGTCTTCGTCGGCAATACTTGTCACGAATATATTTCACTAATTCCCTAAATAATAATGTCCGTCGAATATCGACTTTACGTATTTCATGGCAAATCGCCGATAATCTCGAGCACTCGAGAGAAAGTTCCTGCGGCTCCGAGCCCAAGATATTATCACAATCGTCCCACGAAAGCAAATCCGTAACGACGGTATCATTATCGCGCCTATATACAACAAAAGTACAATGCTCTTTACAATGGAGTTTGCCGGGCATTTTTGCCGAGCGGCATGTAGGGATCGAGCGATGTAGGAGGGCCGCGAACATCCCTCACACGGAAAAACAATGTGCCCGATCGTCGAATAGCAGGGGGCGAAACGCCCCTACCTTCCTTCAATTAGCGCGCTTTTCCCATCCTCGGAAAGCCACTTCTATCCACCATCTTGCTAATGCCCACGTGGACGAGGACGTCGTCGTCGTCGTCGTCGTCGTCGTCGTCGTCGTCGTCGTCGTCGTCGTCCAATCGACGGACAAGGATGGAGGGGGAGTCCGGCCCCGGGTTTCTCAACTGCCCAGCCGCTTGGGCAGTGGGAGCTGGCAGATGGCGTTGTGAACGGGCATCGAGGCCCAGCCAGCCAGGGCGATGCCGATCGAGTCCGCCATCGAGGCGATGCCCAGCGATGCCTCGCGCTGCTCCCAGGGAATCTGAAACAGTCCCGTTAATAAGTACGCCGGTTGCCCGTACGATGGATGGATAAACACATCATCGCCACGGTCTACTTGATCATACCAAGCCAAATCGCTTATAATCGAGCTTCACTCTTTCATAATTCACGCGATGCTCAATACATTATCGCTCTATAATCCCCACATAATTATAAACATTAATTGACGAAATATACGATTATTTAATTTAACTTAATGCTAATCATCTTCTTTATCAGTCTTTTACTATCAAATATCTTCGTCAAATAGTAGGTGCGATAACGCTAATTCGTTGAGACAAAACTCGTATGATTTCCATTTAAATTTCAACGCACATAATTGCTTTAGTATTTTAGTATTTTAACATTTTATGAGCATTAATGTTCATGTAACTTTAAAAGAAAAGGAAGAGAAAAAACAAACAGGCAATTTGTGCTAATAATTTCTCTAATAATACCCGAATCGATAAACTCTCATCTCTATAGCTCCCTGTTAATAGCAGATAATGTCGTTTAAAATGTACGTGAATGTTTCTTGCACGATTTTCAACGTTGAAAATGCCAAGTCAGGTGTTAAACATAAATATGGCCAACTTCTTATCTCCACCAACGTGAAAAACAATTCAATAACGTTTAGACACAAATGTTCTAACTAGCATAAAGACAATGCATATGTAGGATGAATATTGATAATAATTAGTTCATTCCTTGGGAGAAAATTCTCTTCTAGACATGCGGCCACTTTTCATCAATTAACAATTTTCAATATACAATAATACATTAAAGAATAATAAGGTAGACTTCACTCACTTCTTTTGTCATCCTATAAAATGTATTGACGTAGGCAGCTCCGCCTAGTAGACCCTCCCACAATACGAGGCCAAACACAATCCAAATATTCGGAATATAATAGTAAATTGTCTCGAAGGTCAAAAGTATAACGTTTAGAAGCTGTGATAAATCAAATGAAAATTTCTCATTACACTTGCTCGACAAATCCTCAAAATATCAAAATCATAAAATATCGTTAAATTAAGCCTTACCTGCAATACAGACATAATCCAAATTTTTTTTATCGATATGAAATTAACGGACGAACGAGATATGAAAACTCCGATTTGATAATCGACTTGTAGCCAACGATATTGGTCGCAGTGAGTCAATGAAATCTCACGAAATTCTATTAACTCGTACTAGAAAACAAATAAGTTATATATATTTATAAGAGGACAGGTTGACCGGCTGATAATTGTATGCAGTTTTGATAAAATAATATTAACTATTTTTCCCACAACTTCAAATGATCCGATTTCTAATATAATTTTAAAATAAAAAAAAATACTCGTTATAGATTAATTAATATATTTATATTTATGTATTTTTATATTTATATAATAAAATAATTTAACATTATTGTCTAGAATGTAATATCTTAGAGAAATAACATGTGAATTATATTAGGAAAGCAAATAATTAATTATAATCATTATAATGATAAGGAGACGTAAATTCTTAATACCATTAGATTTTTCGTATTTTCCATTAAAATTCTCCACTACACTAATAGAATTTTCTGACTCTAATGAAATAATTGCACCTTACTTAGCCTTACTTAGTTCTCACATAATTTCACTGCACTGTAATTATTAGCTTATTTCGCTATAACGACTGCTGCTAGTCGTCGTAATAACAATTTACTACCGAATATCCTATTGTCTTAGGAGGAGCAATAAATTTAGGCTTAATACATACCAGTCCCTGATTGATGAAATACTCGAAGAGATATACGAGTCCCAGTGGCACCATATACTTCGATAACTTGGGCACGAGTCTGAGCTTCTGACCTAACGTCATCTTTGGAGCCTCGATAATTTGTTCTTGACTGCCGACACCGCCGTTGTCGGTAACGAGGGTAAGTGTCGGCTCGGGGTGCGTCATCACTAACCAGAAGACCAGCGCCTGAATTACCGGCACCACCAGCATCAATAGGAGTGCATCGGCTGAGCTGAGGAAGAAACGCAGACCCGCGTAGGAAAGGGCACCGATTATACCCGCACCACCGGTACCCGATGACCACGTGGAAATCACATTCCTAAACGATCGATAATCTATACTTTTACATTGGCTCTTTAGCTGGGCAAGGGAATGGAAGATGGAATAGAGAGAACAATTTTCTACACTAGGATATACAAAATAGTTTGGGTTTATTAGATATTTTACGTTATTGGCTTTTGACCTGCATTCATATATGCTTTTCACCATATTAACCTAATTACTTAATTATTATTTTATTATTATTATTTCTATAACGAAATTATTTATGGAATTTAATGAAGTGCGATTATATAGATAATTGTATCTTTTTTATTAAATAAAAATTCATTTTTTCGATATATCAATCATTCGATAAATTAATCATAATTTGTAATATAATACCTATAAAGCTATGTATATATATATATATATATATATGCCAGTATAATTTTCCCTTCGTATTCTCCTATTATTTAATTTGGCTATTCTATTTATTTGAAATTTAAGGCATTTGCGCACTAAAATACTTTAAAAGTCTATTTATCATCTATGCATATGCGTAGATATTATTCAAAGCAACCATAGTTTAATTGATTTAGAGTGAATGAAAATTAAATTGACCAATTTGTTGAATTTTAAAGCCAAAAGGCAGACATTCATTACATATGTCTAGTAAACTCAGTATACATTCTAAATATAAACTATTAATGAATAAAATACTTATTAACTATTACATTGTTAATCAAGAATCGACTTCAATTTAAATAGCCACGAATTTTTTAATTTACATTTATATTTATTTAAATTAAATTATTTACATTAATATAGCTGATATATGGATTATTTTAGAATTAAAACTACTATTGTAAAGAATTAAAAATTATCATTAAAATTTATTCTACATTATAATAAGATAATAAAATAATCCAAAATATATGTAAAATATATTTTTATATTTTCACAAGTAAACAAAAGAAATAATATGTTAAGAATTTACGTTTAAAATATCATTGAATTATTTCTAATACTTAGAATACAGATTTTTGTACAAAGGTCGGAATCGAAATTAACTTAAAAATCTTTTTTTTATGATGAAATATATTTTATTATAAAAAAAATAATAATAATATTATCGTTTTTACAATATATATATATATATATATATATATATATATAAATGTATATTACATGGATTATTTTAATATAATAAATTTTACTAAAATATACGGTTAAAAGCAATATTTTTATTAAATGATTTGGATCTAAAAAATAATCCCATCTTCACATATATGGTATTAGAAATTTTTTTCAGTTTATTTTTAATATACTTTATTAAAAAATATATTGATATTATAGCAGTATAGCTGGAGGCTAATTATCTGAATCTAAGAAAAATGCAATGATCAACAAAATTTATACAATCTCAATTTACCTTATTTAATTACAAGGCTAATTTTTTTATTAGACCTCTTTCCTTGGCATTTTTTCATTGACAAATAAAGCAAATACTTTTATTCATTAGTAGGCTGAATGTGACATGTTACTTGAAAGAAAAAAAATAAATAAATAAATACTTCCCTCTTCCAAAAGATAAATTAAAAATTAATCCTTACATATACGTAAAATAAATTTTACTCATAGATCAATTAAAGACTTATATGATACTTCTCTAAAAATCCTAAATCCTAAATGACTTATTTGCCAAAGGCTCTTATTATCCCTAAAATTCAATGCATATTCCCCAAATGACATGATAATCAAAGGAATTATTTACGTTACTGCACAATGTAAATGACCCTCGATATAGAATGTTTAGAAAAAATGACGATATTTTCAGACTAAATGGCATAGTCAGTCGAAGGATGCCATACTCACTTGGTGTATCGATGACTGTAGCTAAGTAACGTCACCTCGCCCAGACCCGATGACAGAGATGTAACGACGACACCCATGATCGCAAGCCATTTTGTATTGCTCAGCGAGACCAGCAAGAAGCCCGCAGCTGAAAACAACACACACGTAGCCATCCGTAAGCTGGAAAAAACGCCAAAATACCATGTTGCTGAAATTTTGTATTTGCAAGAGTGCGATACTGCAATGCCACTGTTGTAAATGCATAAATGCACGCGTTAGTTGTATAGCACGTGTTATTGAACGCGAAAAACTTATGTTAAGATAATATTGAGAGTATGTGAGATGAGAGAGAGAGAGAGAGAGAGAGAGAGAGAGAGAGAGAGAGAGAGAGTGTGTGTGTGTGAGAGAGAGGGGGGGGGGGCATTTTTCCACAAATTTTATTCCTTAGAGTTTTATTAGGTGTACTTCAACTATAACGTAACTTACGTCAACTTTCATTTTCATTCATATTTAATGCATAGCATCAGAACGCATTGTATAAAGAAATTTTGCTCTTAACTGTAATTAATTATAAAAAGAGATCGTACCTTTCATTAGCTAAATATTACGTGTTTTTCTTTTTTACAAAACTCAATGTTTTTCTTTTAAAAGCTATTCTCAAGCGATAAAAGAAATTATTCATAATTATTCATCCTTGGAAGTGAAGAATAATAATTTTATAAGCAATATTATCAACATATCATCTAATAATCAATTAATAGATATCGATGTTTCAAAAAAAAAAGTTTGATAACTTTAATAATTAAAAACATGCAGTGATGTAAATTGATAGTCCAAATACAAAATGCAAGTGTAGGGGTGTGTGCGAGTGTGCGTGTACGTCTGTGCGTGTGTGCCTGTGCGTGTGAGCGTATGCGTTTGCCTGTATCTGTACGTGTGCGCATGCGTTTGCCTGTGCGTCTGCGTGTGCGTCTGCGTGTGCGTCTGCGTCTACGTGTGCGTGTGCATGTGCGTGTGCGTGTGCGTGTGCGTGTGCGTGTACGTGTGTGCGTGTGTATATGTGCCTGTGCGTGTGCGTGTGCGTATGTGCCTGTGCGTTTGCGCGTGAGCGCATGCGTGTGCGTGTGCGTCTGTGCGTCTTGGGTGCGCGTGTGCGTGTGTGTATGTGCCTGCGCCTGTGCGCGTACGTGTGCGTACGTATGCTCTCTCTCTCTCTCTCTCTCTCTCTCTCTCTAGTTTACTATCGCAGAGTTGTTTAAGTGAATTACACAAGTTTTATTATGTCAAGTTGAAGTAAGATATATTAAACTAAATTAAATAAATGGTGGATAGAATGTAAGTACCTCGCGACGCGATGCGCAACCGCGATCACCTCGTCGCTACTCATTCCTACAAAACCTATAGAATTTTATATCTCGTGAAAACGTTCTGTGAATTATCGTCACGTGGTCATAATGCCGGCGGGCTCATTAATGACCTGGTGCAACAATATCACGGGTGCACGTTTATCTGGCCACGCATTTCTGAAGCACAAGTGTACATGAAAATGATATACATGAATTATAATTATTAATATCATTTACGGCTACTCTTTATATTTTGTAGAGTGAAACTCTCGAATGAAACGAATGATATAATATTTTTGTTTTCTTTTAACAATTGCAATCGTCCTTTTATACGTAGCTTATGACAATCAATTATAAAAAAACTTTTCATTTGCTCATCTGATAAATAATAACTAATAAATAATAACTACATTGTTAGATTTCAATTATTATTAATGAATTAAATTAATGATTAACGTGAGTATATTCTTCGGTAAAACATTAAACCATTATTTAATAAATCACATAAAGTAATATGTAATCAGATATCCGTTCGTCATGGAATTGATTTTGATTGATTTTGTAATTGATTTTAAAATTGATTTTCAGCTTTTTTGAAGTGAAGTGCAATGCCAAAAAATTGGTGTTAACAATTGTGTGTTCAACGTATGGTTTAATACTTATATAAATTTGATTATAACTCGAGCATCGAATCATACAAACTCTTATTCATTGTACAAAATTAAAATTAAAAAATTAATATTTACGATGATGATTGACACTAAATTTTTTGACGCATCTGCATTCAACTTGTTTTTATACCATAACAATATTTCTTTTACAGAGCATTAAATAGTAAAATTCAATGTAATTAATGTTGCACTGTAAATATTTTAATGGCTTCAAAACCAATGTCAAATATTAATTTATGATGCACAATATAAGCTATCGATTAAAATTAATTGACAAAACATTTTTTAGCATAAATACTAATCATCAATGAATAAAACAACCCGTAATGTGTAATTTTAACAAGTATTTACAGATATGTTTAATGAAAGCATACTTTTAAGTATAATATTGATGGAGTTTATTTGAAAAATTGAAAGAGAAGATTTACAGTGCTACAATGTTGTAAAAACTGAAAATCAATTCTGACGAATAAAATGACTTTTCACTCTAAAAAAAACTAGAGAGTGCACTATTCATATTTTAGCTTACATGGATAGAGATGAATGATTTCTGCTCAGAAACATCAAACGATTATGGTTACTAATCAGATTTCTGCTTCTTGAAGAAGAAAGAAAAATACATCTTTCATAATAGCACGTAATAAATTAATTAATCTAACCATAGTCAACATGATAAATACAATATCAAATGATAATTTAAAGAACTGTGTATTCAATCAAATAAATGCCAATGTGCAATCCAAGCTCGATTACTTTGTAGACAATAATAGTGAAAATATAGGCTTTATTAATAAATTGATCAAATCGATCGCATTATTGAATGATTCGGTACTTTTTCTAATTGTCTTTCAACGCGCTTCGATTACGTCAATGTGCGATTATCTGGAAGGAAGAAAAAGGCGCTTTACGATTTGTACAATTTGTTTATCCCCTACTACCACACATTCTACAATATATATATATTGTATAATACATGTAATCTTGTGACATATGAAGGTGTAATGCATTTTATCTTTACTCTAATGTTATATATATGTGCGTGTGTGTGTGTGTGTGCGCGCGCGCGTATGTGAGTGTGTGTATCAAGAAAACAGCGGGAGTGAAATGCCCTATATATCCAATCTCATCTCTTGTCATTGCTCGAACATTTTAAAATCTAATCATCAAAATCATATCATTAAATGCGCGTTGTAAACAATTGCATATCTTCAATTTTCCTCTATGCATAAAAACTTGCAAAATAAAGGAAAAAGAATACGTTTATAACGTCTTCTACGTTAAATAAAGGAATAAGAATACGAGTAAATGAAATAAAAATATGTATCAGTTAATAAAAATACTATTGTCACTTTTCATATATAATACCCAAGTATCCATACTTACACATTAACTATTTATTGATTCTTTTTTTTTTTCTTTTTTTTTTTTTTTTTAATCTCTATTGAACTATGAAAAATCAAAAAATATTTTCAGTTTCTTTATCTATGTTCATTAAACTTTATAATCTAAAAATAAATTTTGCCGTAGCATAAAAAATTTATGTAAATATATTTAAATAATAATAATTTTCTTAATATTTACATAAACTAAACAATCTCGTAATTATCTATGAGAACGCATTTCTGACTAAATACGATTTCATAATTTAAAGTTTAAACAATTCGATAAGTTATACTGAATGCTAGACGCAATCTTTAAAATTATTATGAATAATAGGTTTAAAATATTGATACCGCAATGCCATCCTTCAAATGCTATAGAAATTCGTATTTAAAATTATAAAAAATTAGTATGCCAGTAAAATTAGTAAAATGCCATTATTTAGTGTAGAAATTAAAAAATCATACTAGAAATAATTTTCATTTTTCATCAAATGCATCACATTCTAATATCATACGATTAATATTTATTTACAAATAGTCTTGATATTATCTCCAGCTGTATTAAATAAAAAAATAATAATTCAGTTTTAGCTTTACATAAATATAGCAAAAATTCATCATGTTTTAATTTAAAAGAAATAATAATTTACAATAAACGCGTTGTAAAGTATATACACTAACGAATGATGAAAGACATTCTAATATAAAGGATATATTAAAAAAGAAATTATATTAATAGTAAAATCAATATTTGTCACATATCAATACCCAAAGTTTTATAACTACAATTCATAAATATTGATAAATATTTAAATACTCACTGAACAAAAAACGGCAAAAATGGAGCTGTAAGTTTAATTATGACGCTCGGCAGAATATCAGCCAATAAAATAGCTCCAGTGGATACGGTATTACATGTTCGAATGGTTTCGTTTACCGCAGCACATGATTCGTCCTGTAAAATATATCGATTTGTTGTATTAAGTAAATATTTGTTGTATTGTGCCGCATTAAATATACGGATACAGTATGACGTATGACATCATTGTCGAGCAATTGATCAATACTGAAAATTGATCTACTTTCAGTAGTAACTAAAACTTTAACACAAAAGGTAATTAATTATATATAAAACGGTAATGTTTGTTATTTTTATTTTAATAATTATAAGATATAATTAATTCGTTGTTCGGCTCTTGATTTTATGAAAACTTGTCACGTATAATATTCCTATAATTTATATCATTTTTATTCATACAAACGACACTCTACTTGTTTGTACATACAATTAAACAATGTGATAAAATTCACGGTCAATAACATCAAAATATAAAGTAACTTTAACTGTAAGGTTAGAGGGCAATAAGCTCTAGATTATAATTTTTCTATAATTATTTTTCTATTATATACTAAATTAAGTATATCGAAGCTAATAATTACATGAGAAAGACTTTGATCTAAAATTAGTGCAACTATAATTTTTTATTTTTATTACCGATGATACTATTAAGTTTGATATTATTATGATTATTCTACAGTATCTTAGTATATAATTTATAAGCAATAGATGGTCATCGACATATACATTTTTTCAAATGATCTCTTGAGCAATTGATTGACATGCATCCACGTGTGCGCGTGTCACCACATGAATCCTCTATTTTAGAGACAATTTTTATATATTTACGTGATAATGCGTTAAAAATCGTTCCCTCGATCTTAAATAATGCAACCATATATAAACGGAAAAGGTAGAGTGGCCAAATATCGCGAAAACACTTGCTGACTCAATAAATAAGGTTGAATTTACATTTAAAAGTAAATCACGTTCCAGCAGCAGATATTTGATATAGCGAGTATTCAAATATAAATAAAACAACCGTTTATTTTTAAAAAATTACTGCAAATATATATTCAAAGTTTCTTCCTCTCGATACATTCGTTGAATTATGAAGGCTTTCTGGTTTGATCTACTAATCACACATTTTTGACAACTCGTTCTGCTGAGAGAATACGCTCCAGTCTGAAATTTTGTAGTCGATGCGACCCCCCCCCCTCTTTACCCCATAACAAACTATCCCATAACTATTTCCGATTTCCAGATTCTACTAAAGCATATCATACAGATTACCTTAAGGTAAAAATGAAATTTGTACATTAATTAAATCAACGTTTGCCACGCAGATATAATTTATACCATTTGTATATTATTTTAATTTTTCATTAATTTATAAAATTCACGTAGAATTAATTGAGAGCAATTGATTATAATGTAAAAATTAATTTAATTAGGGTTGTTAGCATTGATAATCTCATGTTAAACATAATCAAAGTTTTCAAATATTCTATCATTAACTCACGTAAACAGTCATAAGATGGAAATTTCCAAATGTAATAAGACTCAGATGAAATTATTATTATTATTAAATAGGACGAAACTATGGCAATTGAAATTTGAATAATCGGAACCTTAAAACGGTATACAATTATCATCGGAACGATTATTACAATTATCACATCGTGTGCCGACTAGCATTCTCGATTAACAATCCAACGATCAAATATTAAAAAGCCATTCCAATGCTCCTCGCACGAATGAACGGCTAAAAAATTCTCTAACGTTATTCTTATTTACCACCTGAGATGTTGGAAAACGATGCATCGAAGAAAACGCGCGCAAGCATCGCATTTTTCCAGATCGCTCGCGCGAGCGCGCACGATTATGTAATCAATAAAAATCACGAATGTTTGGAAAATCTCGAATCGCCTCCTCGAGCAATAAAATGGACCACACTGGCGAAGCGCGAGTGGCGGTGAGAAGAACTTGTATGAAATCATTTAATTAGGCGCGCAACGACGAGGAGAAGTCTTAATAAAAGGCCGACCTTGGAGCCTGAAAAAATATGCAGCTAAATATATATATATATATATATATATATATATATATATATATATATATATATACACGTGCGTGTGTCTATGTATGTAGCACAATCGAGGACATTTAACGAGTGGTGAGTTACCAAGTACGTACGTGCCGTATCGTGCGTGTATATCCCGCAGTGCGATGACACACTCCAATGCGACCTCGACTTGTACCTAAAAACCTCGCCCTTTTTCTCATTTTCATGACGGACGAATAGGAAAAAATGATGTGGAGAGGGGGAGGGGATGCAGGAGGGAGTTTGATCTCGGTTGATGGATGTTGTGCGATGGCTCTTGTGCCTTAAATAACGTAAATTGTGAAAGAAGCGATTGGCTTCGTTGCCGAGACGTACCATCATTTATTATGGAAATACGATAGAAGTAAATTAGAGTCTCTTAGCAGGACTATTCAGCATTATTAAATTATAAATTATGAACTTTTTATTGTTTGTATAATACTTCTCAAACTCACGAATGAACAAGATTGTATTAATCGCGTGCAAATATATGTTTGCCAAAATTGCGTAATAAATTTCAATTAAACGTTTATACGTAAAAAAAAACAAATAATATAAAATCACGATTTTTAAGAATATAGACATTATAATTTTCTCGTTTAACATTAAAAACTTCACTCGTATTGTTTTACTAACATTACACGCGTGTTTAAAATACATTTCACGCTAAAAGTTTGGGTTTTTTCTTCAAGTATTATCACACGAATGTTACATAAAATTGTCGATAAATTTGTTTCATTAATCAAGTCCATCACTGTTAATTAATTCTAAACAATTTCACAATTACGAAATTCAAATCGCAAAAAATTATCTTATTAATAAAGCTACGTTATAAATATTAATGTAGCCATCGCAAATGTTATTCTTATGGCAAATGAAAGACAAATGAAGATGTGTCCTAATGATGATCAATTATACGATTTCAAGAGCCTAAACCTAAAGAACGCACATTGTCTTAAATTATGTGAATAGTAAGTGAGAGAAAAATAAATGTAAGCACGATACAAATAGTATTTTTATATAAATGACGCGAAGTTAGTAAAAACAAGTTTTGTCGATGATTAAAATTCGCATATTAAATTAACGTAGATGTGATATTATAAACTCATAAGGCATCACAATGATGTTTTAGTCGCTCGATCCACAAGTGTACATAAAACCAGTGGACCCACATGAATTTTGATATCGCATTAATCCAACCGCGATTAACGACGAATACAAACATACTCGACTCTGTATTTCCAAACTGTTTCAACGCAAAAGCAGCCCGATTGATGAATTTCCAATAAGTAACGCAAAGTCGATGTAAGGTCAATCAATTGAAGAAAAAAAAAACCAAAACTAAAACTAAAACTAAAACTAAAACTAGAAGAAAACAGAAAATAAAAGCAAAGAAAAAAGAAAGAAAAAGAGCGCTGATTCTTTTTAAATTTCACAGCCGAGCGCATTAATATATCACACAGTCGGATATCACGACGAGGTCTCATCATTACGAGGCGCGTCATGTGACGTCGTCGCTCGGCACGTCTTTCCTTCTATTAGTACGTGTGCATTACTCGTCCCAATGTATGCACAGCATACATCACCTCTTCGCGAATTAAGGAATTGGAGGTCATGACCTTCGGACGCGTGGAAATGGTCGGATGCAAGTGGATTCGAATTATCTTTTTTTAAAGGTGTCGCGAGAAACGCATAGTAGACCGCTCGCGCCTTGCGTGATAAGAAGCCTCCCATTCCTTCGAACTCACCAAGGCTTGGCGAGGTGAAAAAGGTTGTTGCGTCGACCGGCTTTCTCTAGTAAAAAAAAAAAAAAAAAAAAAAAAAAAAAAAAAAAAAAAAAAAAAAAAAAAAAAAAAAAAAAAAAAAAGGGATTTTAAATGCGGCTTTCTCTAGTAAAAAAAAAAAAAAAAAAAAAAAAAAATAATAATAATAAAAAAGAAAATACAAGTAAACAAAAAACAACGGCATTGTAATTGCGCTCGTGGAGGGATAGAGCAGTGCGAGGGAATTTTCTGCTTCGCAATAATGTTATCGTTGCACATGTTTCGGGTTGGTTGTTTTACATGTCATGAGAGTACATAAGACTACTATTAGTCATAATTATCATGTGCTCGTAATTTTTCAGAATCCAATCGCTATGTAATACATACTTTTCGTTTAATTTTTAAATGTATAATACGATGTTCGTGGAAGAAGAGAGAATTGCACAATTAGAATCCGTCGAATTTGAAAGCTTTAAAAATTAAAGACACGGCTGCTTATCTTATTTAAACAATCAATTCTAAGTCGCACGTCATTCGAGGGTAATTATTAAATGAGATATTAAGATCATTGCTAATAGGAGCGAGCGTATTGTAAAATACATATATTTATCGTTCTAAATCTTGTCATTTTATAATTATAAGAATTAAAAGCTAACGGACGAAAGTTAATTCGCAGCAACCAGTTTGATTGATGTCAATGCGCGAAATAACTAACTGCAACAGTTTGACTTACTTCGTTTGCTCCTACAATAGCTTTTAGCAAGTACAATGCAATTTTATTTCTATACATATAACGGATCGTTACTTTAATACTTTCACGAAATGAGATACGTAAAATTAATTAAGTTTTTACATTTAAAAATCAGCCATTACATTTTCTCTAGCCATAATATCTTTACCAACATTAATTTGAATAAAATGTATGTATAAAAAATATTATATGTCGTATATCATCTTCAATGTAAAATGCATTAGATGGTAATGAAAATTTATAAACAGAACTATTCTCTTATTAATATTTTTTTGTTTGTCGCCTTTTTTACATATGTATATACTCTTGTTATACATTTTAATTTCAGAAATAAATTTCTTAATAATTTCCTTATACAACAAATCTATATATTAACTGTTATTATAATAATTTACTCCAAATGGCCTATTATAGGATACAATTATTATATATATATATATATATTTTTTTTTATTTTTTTTTTTAAACAATTCATACATTTTATTAGTAAATTATGAAATAATATACGTAATTTATGAATTTTTTTTTTTTTTTTTTTTTTTTTTTTTTTTTTTGAACGTTTGTTTACTAATATTAAAATTCCAGATGATTGCAAGAAAAATTTCAGAAAAATAGTTTATTAACGGGTTCGCCAATAAATGATACAAGATTGTATAATAAATCTAAATAAAATTTGTCGTTAATCGAAATAAAAATTTATATTATACCGATAAACGTAAATAGTTTGTAAATTTTCTATCATCGGCCGCTGATATTAATAATAAAGTATCGATCACATCGATTTTTATTATAACTTTTATAATATGTATAAACCATTCTGTCGTTCATTTATGAATTAATTTAATTTCTTTTCCACCAGATCAGAATACCTTGACATTTGCAAGACATTTTACAAGATCTATAATTTTATTATTGCATCATAAATATACCACAATCATAAACTGCATAAAATTAGAAAAGTGTTTTATGAAGAACAATGCGGCTGATGTGGTCAAGTGAATATTTACATTTTCAATTAAATCGCCTAAAATAATAAACAACTTTTTACAACTCAGTTGTAATATTAAAGTATAAATAAATTTTGTGAATCTATCGATTCGTTGTGTTTTTTATATTGTTAATATTAGACGCGTTATTGGATCAAAAACATTGCTTTATCCATTGAAGCTGAAGCAATAAAACTTATATAACTAAATAAGTAAATCATTAATTATACATTACTGTGAAATTTAATAATAATGATTTTCTTACGAAATATTTAAACGTATTATATGATGAAATGAATTGTTTTAAATCATCGTATGATTCTTTATTCTTTGGGTCTTTTACATTTCGGGGTCAAACAGGGTTTCGTTTGCTTATTATTATGTAATCGGCGGAAATCGAATATAACATAGTAACATAAATGTAGCTTATAAAACGATGAAAAATTATGAATGTTAATTATATATGTGGTATAATGGAAATAACATTGAAATTCTTATGAACTTCAATGAACTTCTTATGAACTCACATCACGAAAAAGGAAACAAAAGATTTGTCACCTACAGTTTTGACTTTCAAAAGTACGCGAATATTTGGAAAATAACATCCATGAAAACGATCGTTCGTCACCTTCAATGACCTCAAAAAGGTTATTTCTACATTATTAAGTTTTATTATAAACACATAAGTACGTAGTCAAATCATATTTAGAGTAGAATCAAACTCGGATGTTTGTGAATTATAATTAGAAAAATTATAATTTGACTCGTATAATATTACTATGGAGATTTGAATTGCGAATTTTTTTTTTTTCTTTTTTTTTTCTTTTAATTTAACTTGACTCATTAGCGTTCTTCGACAATATGTTTGTCTCTTAATATTATGAATAAAAATTTATACTATCGTAACTGATTTATACCAAAAAAATCATACATTCAACTATTATTATATTATTGTTAATAAAAATAATAAAAAAAAAAAGTACAGATAATAAATACAATAAAATTATATTTTTATCATTCTGCAAAAGTTGAAACGTAGATATATACTGACAACTTCACAACCTCCTTATTTATCTATGCATAACTTTAATTTTTTGTCAACATAAATTTGAAATTATTGGACGGTAAAGTTTTACGCTCCATTGGGTCTTCTGAACCTTTAGTAAAGCTTATTTAATATTGTATGATCCATTGATATTAGCGCCTGTTTCAGAGAGAATAGCGTTCTTTTGTTTCGAAAATATGAAAGAAGCAAAAAAAAAAAAAAAAAATTGAAAAAAACATTAAAATCGTAGAAAAAGATATACTGCATTATAATAAATCAAAATGAAAAAAGTTGCAATATAACAGACAAAAGCCAATAATTATGAATTATCATCATTTTTTTCTTTAATAGATAATGTTATTTACTTTAAAAGAATATTCTTCGTGTTAATGAATATTAAAAGCTGCCGCTTAACAACCAAAGTAATATTTTGTAACGAGCTCCCTTGACTTGTCTTTCGTTAATTTCATTCATAATCAAGCCAATAATCTACAATACAAGACAAGATTCTCATTAATATGACTATTATAAAACATAAGTATTTAATGATAATGTTCATAGAAATGTCCAGTGAGCCTTGAAATAAACGATATCGACAGAAATAAGAAAACCGTGCCTCGTAACTCAAGGCTTTCTCCAATCTTCTCAAGTCCAATCGATCTTGACATTTTGACAAATAAACGTCCGGATGATCCAACGATGCTCCCGTACATACACATAGTAAGCCGTAACCGAGGACTTTATGAACAAGTGATCCACATGACACCGGGAAAGGGAAATCATTAGGAATACAAGACGGCGAACGATGAGAAACCGCCTCCATGATAACAGATCATAATCGGGAAAATAAATTTGGCGTATCATGCGCACGATGTTTTGACAAGTGTATTATGTAATGTTTATTGTGCCGTTTGAATTAGAATCGTAAACGCCGTGACAACGATGAAGAGTGAGAACGATGCTTGTTGCACTGAGTGACACAAGCACGGCGATTTCATTTCCTTCCTCTTCATTACGATGACATTATGTTGAGCGCATTATCGGTATCGAAGGAAAAACTCTGCGCTTTTTCGTCCCGATATACTCGAGTATAGATGTCACGGACTTGTTTGGCAATTATTTTGCTTGCCAAGAACATGGTGCATCACGGGCACGGGCGGTTGGCTTCGATAAAATCGTAATTATTGCTATAATCTCGCAGATTCCAAACCGATCTCTTTATCAAGATATATTTATGTCTGTTGGAAGAAACTTCTTTTTTTTCAGCTGTGTCGGACAAACTGTTGGTTTGTTTGGCCTAACATAAGTCGGGGAGCCCGAAAAATATAAATATCGCCGTATAAGAATAAAATGATTTTTTTTTTTTTTTTTTTTTTTTTTTTTTTTTAAACAAATATCTTGATAAATATTTCTAATAATTTATGTTTATATCTACCTTTATTTTTCATCTTCAATTATTCAATAATTTATTTGGCGTATTTTTCTTATTATTTAATTGTTAATTAAAATTATATGCGAAACGATAAATATTAATTTGTGCTAAAACGCGTTCTCTCTCTCTCTCTCTCTCTATGTTCAAACAAACAATTACAGATTGATTAATCGATTCATTTTATTCCATTGATATTTTGAAAGTAATGAAAATCATTATTATTATGTTTTAAAATTACAAACAAATATTCAAATTATTTTTCTGCGTGTGCATTCGGTAAATGGAATATTTTGTGGGAAGGCTTAATTACGTTGCAATTAAATACAATCATGTTTTACAAAGTCGGATAAAGCCGTCGTTGTAAATACAAATTATTATTTATTAGGCATTTAATAAAATTATACGACGAAAATAGCTTATTAACGATAAGCAATAAATTAGATGAAAATTACTTTACCGACTATCAGCATTATTACCTAAAAATTTATTGAAAATAATCCAATTGTATCGATTTAGCATGATCCCGATAGTAAATAATTTTGTGACAAAATATGTTGAGCATAAGAATTGTAATAAAACTTTACTAATGTAGTTTCACTAATAATATTTAAGTAGGCGGCTTTAAGTGCGCGAGCTAGAAATACTTAAAAAAAAAAAAAAAAAACAACTAGATTATTCCATTGTCTAGGTGTATCTGTAAGTGTATTAACAAAATTTTTAAAAGGACTGGAGCATTGAAGGGAAGCATTTTTTATAATTTATTCGTCGCTTGGGCAATAACATTATATTATTCTTTTAATCTTCATCTTAATCATTGATTTTTACTAACTATTTTAATCCGGTAAACATTAATCACAACAAACATTGTTAATAAGCAATCAAATAACTGGACCACCCAAAGTCGAAAGACAAAACAAAAAAAGGAAGAAAAAAAGAAGATAAACATAATAAACAAAAAATTTATAAATGGATCAATTATTTCGTCTTTGCATATAAATAAACGCGAAGCAGCGACAAGTCAAAATTCATCGCACAAGTCCAAAAACGTAATTACATTATAATTAGTGAAACGCTTTATGCCTCAATGAAAAATTAAAGACTTTATACAAATAAACACGAGGATTGTATATGAGGCCATCTACGTCTCATGCTATTTATAGTTAATAGCAAATCGTTAGCTAATGAATAAATATTGGAGATAATTTTGTATGAAATTAACACATAGTATATCATAGTTTATGCGAGCATGGCGGCTTTAAATACTTTTTTCATTACATTAGATATGCTAATTAGATCGTGGCTCTAATTTAACTTTTTGTTTTCATAATGCCAATAAATTTGAAATCTCGAAAGTTGCTCTCGCAACGGCAAATATACTCGCCATGGCAATGAGCGAAGATCATCGATACATAAGCGTTCGACTACGGTGTCCTACGATTATCACGAAACATCCAAACAAAGTAATGCCAAATACAATGTCTCCTACGTCTCTTCCAATACCCAATAGATATAAATGGAGTGCGAGGGCCGCATTAACCGCTGCCCTCCCCCACTCCATAAAATACTGCTTCAGCAAAAATCAATAATTCATTGGAGCGCGGCAGTATTGGTGCGAACGTAGAAACGAGTCAAGATCGAGAATATAAAGTGTTGCGATTGGATGGCACTGGCACGAGCCCAATACCATATCACAAGTCGCGCCACGCGATAACGCAAACATCGAATTAATAATATAGACATTGCAGAGTACAAATCGAAAATTTGACCAAAGCATTGGTCCAAGTGGCCGTCTCACTCACCGAGATCTCCTCGCTCAGTATGTCGTGGGCCGCGCTCAGCATCACCACGTAGCCGTAATTGTTGCAGAGCCCGAGGACCCAGAACGCCAGCAGGTTCCTCCATCCGGTCCTTAACTCCGCGTCGCCGTCCACTCCGAAGCCGTTCTTCGACGTAGCAACCACGTCCTTCCGCTTGCTCGGCATCCTGGAGGCTCTCCTTAGAAGCGGCGGCTCTCTCCACCCGCGTACCGGCAAAAGAGAGAAATAAAAATGAGGGACCCTACCGTCGACCCTATCGCCGCCTTCTCCGTGAAACTGCTCCGGTGATGATGCGCGCCGCTCCGACCTGACCGTGTGTCACTCTATAGACGGCACTTTGCTAGACGCGCACGCGCTCACCGATTAGCGCTACGGCTATTAAGCCAAAAACAAAAAAGAAGAATAACAACAGAAGAGGAAGAAAAAAATCAGCCCGTCGGGAGTCGCACGAGCGCTCGACCGCTAATAACGTGATAGTGACACGAGGAACCCTCGTCGGCCCCCTTTTATAAGAGCCACTACTTTTGCCCGGCGAGACGGGGTCCCCCTCCCCGCCCGCCAAACGATGCGCGCCGACGAGCATCGCGCGAAACGCGCTTTCCCGGCATTTCCCTGGCGAACGGGACGAACGGGACGAACGGGGCCAGATCACGGGAGTCACGGAGATGTCATTAGCCGAATATACCAAGGCGTTTATCCACGGCTCGCCAAGCACCGCTAACCAAATGCATTGTGCGTTGGAGGTTAATAGCGATAGCCAAAATTATATGCGCCATAAAGCGCAATGACGCTTATTTCTTTAAGTGGCGATCGGTCCAAGTTACCATTCGTACTATTCGCATCAACATTCGGGTTTATGCCCAATTACGGACTTTCTTTTAATGTACGACATTGATTTCCAATAATAATGATGATGATAAGTGGTGGTGCAGCGAGCCAACGGGCTTCTTCCATCAAAAATGACGAATTATTACTTTTAATTGACACTGCGCGGAAGATTATGGTCTCGCCGGTGTTTTTGACGTCGCAACGAAATCACGAACGCACAAACACAATATTGCATTAAAATTCGTCGCTTGTTTATTGTTTATTGTTTATCCTTCTTACAATTAAAACCATTTTTTTTTTCAAGTGATATAAGCCATCCGGAAGTCCCAAATTTCACACCAATAAACCATACTAAATCCTATACCTAATATCACATATGATATGCATGTATGCGCATACATGTATATATATATATATATATATATATGGTGTATTGTTAAAACTTCCGAAGTCGATTATCATATCAATATTTTGAAAATGAAAATAATAATACAAAAGACAACTAAAAAACAATGTAAAAACAATGAGCCAACTGAACTCTCAATATTCGCACTACTTTTCATAGTCTTTTCAATATTTATATTAGAGTAAATATATTGTTTAAACAGTGAAGATTATGATACAACAATAATGGAATATTTTTCTCAATCGGTATAAATATTTTATTGAAACTCGATTAACTAATACTACCTTTCTAATATTTCAAAAAACTAATTTACATAACAATCGCTTATAAGCTATATATAATATTTGATACAAATGTCAAAATTTAATATCTATATATATATATATATATATATCAGTATACTTTTGCTTCGTCATAATAAGAAAATACAGATAAATTTTGTATTTATAATTCATTACAATATTATGACATATTAATACTGATATCAGGAAATTAAGAAATTTATTTATTATATAAGCTAGTGCCTTGAATATTAATTATTACAATAAATTTAAGATATATTGCACGATGAATATTTATAACTCGTTTTAAAGATAATTTTTTGGATCGATCAGAAATTTCATTAAAATCAATATAATTTATAAAACAAACTAATGCTCATGAATTATTTATCTAATTGGAAACTTGAATGTAGATTAACAACAAACGTTTAAATGTATTTTCTTTAAGTTGCGAATTCTCTAATTGCCTGAATGCCTTGAATTATTAAACAAGTTTCAATAAGAGTAAGTATTTTAATCAAACCTTATTGTATATAAAATTGTAAACACAATTACATCAATCGCTATACATTATAGTAACCTCATAATGGCGTACTGTAAATTAAAAGTTAAATTCTAAATGAAAAATCAATAAAAAATCTATTCAATAAGGAATATTATACAATTTTTTTTTTCAAGAGAAGAGAAGAGAAAAAAACTGAAGAAAAAAATGAAAAGAAAAGATTTTTCCAATGCTCTGTGGCATTCGTAAATATTCTGAATAAACGTCGAATGTAATAAAACTAATCATTTTTTCAAATTCTCAAATATTCTCTATATGTCGTGATTTATACTATTTGAGAAAACAGTTTCGAAAATCAAACAAAACTACGATAAAATTACACATAGAATATTGATTGTTCTTCAATAGAAATATGAAATATAACAATCATTTATGAATAAAAGCTAATAATAAGGATCAATTGACGGATTTTATATCAATTTCGCTTGGCATTCCAATAAATATTCGAATAAATAATACCAGTCATACGTTTAATAACGAAAAATTAGAAATTATAGCCATATAAAGTTTCTTAAATATATATTTCATCCATACATTTGAAATTAACATTAACTAAAATGAAAATCATTACTGTGAAACTTATATATCGATAATGCTTATTAATCTTAGCTAAAAGCAGCCAGCATAAACAAATATACTATTAAAGTCAATAATACTTCGTTAATAAAAAAATAAAAATACAAAAAAAAAATAATAAATCATTAGTTGGGTTTCGATCGGATGGATCCGATCTTTGATGCTCGCATTGAATAAACACCTAATGAAAGTCGATAAGCCGAAAAGAATAGTCGCCTCGGCTTGCAATAACAGTGAGTCCTCCGATTTCGTAACTCGATTCGTATTAAAAAAAAATAATAATAATAATAATAAATAAATAAATAAATAAACAAGCGATTCGAAACATCTCGACTCCACCCGTACTGACCATCTGATCTCTTAACTGACGACGATGACGACGATGACGACGATGACGACGATGACGACTATGACGACTATGACGACGATGACAACGACAACAATGAGGACGACGACGACGAGGATAACGACGAGGACGACGACGACGACGACGACGAGAAAAAGGAAAAGGTGGTGAGACGAACAGAAGCACGTGCTCGAGTGACGTAGCACCTCCGGAATTTCCTTCCGCCCGGCGATGATATGTGTGTGTGTGTGTGTGTGTGTGTGTGTGTGTGTGTGTGTGTGTATGTGTTATGAGAACATTTTTCGTCATAATTGTTAAGATTAATATGGAAAAACATAACGTGAATCTCAAAGCCTCAGTATTTCTTACATACAAATCATTTTCCATTCAAAAATCCAAACGATGATTTTTAAGTGTCATTGATCCCTGGCGAACGGATAGACTGGAGGGAAATTTTTTCAACTATTGTTAAATTAATTTTCTTTGTTTTGTGTATTAATTGTATATTTTCATGTTTGCAATATTTATATAAGGAAAGCAAACGTACAAAAATCGTTAACGTAACTTGACCAGTCCTAGCTTTTGCTTACATGCTACATTAAATATCTATGCGCGTGTACGATATATCATCTAGAATAGTCGGTATTGCAATATTTGCCAAAGCACTTGTTGCTACATTAATAAACGAAATGGCTGATAAGTGAGAAAAGTACGCTAATCAGCCCTTGAAAAAAAACAAAAAAACAAAAAAAAAAACAAAAAAAAAAACAAAAAAAAGATTCATCGCAATATTAATATCCTCGCATGGAGCTGAAAAACTAAACGGTAATTGAATATAAAGTCATTGTAAAATGCTAGTCATTCGCATAGATCCGTATAATGCGAGGAAAAAGAATGCGCGTAGTCATGAACCGCATCGCCATTAAAGATAGAAAGAGATAAGCGTAAACCAAGCTCGCTTTAGTACATAAGTAAGAGCACAAGCAAATTTAATAGACGCTACTAGGTGCTGTCCACGAGTCGAGAATTTCGTTTGAAAAATTCCGAAACTCGCAGCTTTTTCAACATATTATTAGATATATAAACGATTCTCGTTACTAAATAATACGTCTGCAAATTCTAAAATTGAATGAATGAAGGATACTATTAATATTAAGAGACTCTGTCTCTGTCTCTCTCTCTCTCTCTCTCTCTCTCTCTCTCTCTCTCTCTCTCTGTCACCATATTATTGAATTTTACAAAGCCTGCAATGCCATAAGAGCAGTCGAATTTTAATTGTTAATTATGAATAATAAAAGCAAGTGATTAATTGATGAAATATTGCGTACTTTGTGCCCATTGCGTATTATTAATATTAACTTTATTATACTTAATTGGTACTTATTTCAAGCTCAGTACAAAGTCAACGCGTATTTAATAATAAAAAACATCAATTTTACATTTATATTTATTACGTTTTCAATCGGGAATTAAGTAAACGCTTGAATAATCGGTTTTGAGCATGAGAAAATCATTTTTAACGGCGACAAAAAGTAAGCGAGCTTGGATTCGGATATATCCGTAAAAAATACGCAGATATTTTTTTTGCCAAAGGCTTCAATAACGAGGGCTTTGCGCCTACACAATCGTGCAATTTTAAAAAGAAAAGCATTGATGTATAGGCCAAGAAAACAATTTATAAAATTATATTCACTTAGCGAATATTATATCTGTGTGCGATATCTAGGATAACGATTAGCGAATAATTGCAGACGCAATATTCCAGATAGTCAGAACTTTGCCCTCCCTAGCCCAACCCCCAATACGATACCCATACGAAAGAAAAAGAAAATCTCGTCCGCTCGATATATTGGAGCAATTGTTGGACTCGTAGCGTGAAAAGATTAGATGCGCTTACGATTACGATGACGTTATCAAGTGCACGTTGCCTCGATGCATCGCTGAAACGTCAGAATGTCTGACGATCGTGTCGTCAATGTGGTTTTTTTTTGTACCACGGACATCATACGTCTATCCTTTTTAGTCAAGGTGTTGGCTTAGTGGCTGTTAAAGCATACGATAAGGGACCTTGCTCGGACGGTACATAAAGATTAGTGAGACCGAGAGTGCTGAGAGTAGAGCTTAATGGTACTAATACTATCAAGCATTGCATGTTTGCAGGCCATTTTTACAAATAGTCCCTATTTATCCGCTTCCCTCTTCATTTATTCTCGCGCCTACTTAGTAACAATATAAGGGGAATAATGCTTTACGATCGCTGATTAAATTACTTTTAAATCCTGAACAATACTAATATTTGTAAATACCATAATCTCAAGAGTATAATCTTTGAAAATATGGAGATAGGCCCGTGTAAATATTGCTCTTTCTGTAAATTATAATTTTAAAGGTGCATATTCTTCTCGGTTAGGCTTTTCAAAAAATTTTATTGGAAATAATAATAATTTTTATCATTGGAAGTTCGTG